TAAGCAAATTCATAACGCGTGTCACAGCAAAGCTAGAGCGTTGGCTCCAAGAAGTAAGATAGGGGCAGGATGGGAACATTATTGGAGGGTGGCAGGAAGTGATAACAGCTGATAAGATACCATAAGGAGCCTTAAAAAGAGTGAGTTACCTAATTCATAACACCGGCCACAGCAGCGATGGGACGTTGGTTCCAAGAAGTTAGATAGGGCAGGATGGGAACATTATTGGTTTGTGGCAGGACATGATAAGAGCTGATAAGATACCCCGAAAATTCACAGCAGAGTTGTTGCAACACTGTGGAACTGCTCCAGCAAGTAATTCAGGGGTGCTCAGGGAACATTAAAGGTGGGAGATAAATTCTGTCAGTGTCCGACAACGGCTTTTGGGACTCCGTATATGCATCATCGTGGCCAAATTTCTATTCCTAGCAATATCCCTCAGTTTAGCGGTCGGAATTGCTTCCACCGCTAAACGCTCGAGTTTCACCGGAAAGGGAATTGTTGGCCAGTGAGGGCCACTATGATTTCGACTTTTTTATCATTGAAATTCTTCCCACCGCTATGCTCTCCAACGAATGGTGCTTTTAGAAATATGATAGGCACCAAACACTGGCAAATGTTCATTAAAATGGAGAAACATGATGAAATGGGCCGTCCTCGAAACATGGGAATTAGGCTGTGTGTTAGTGCTCAGGACAAATCCTGTCAGTTATCGTAGTACCATGGGTTTAACCATGCGCGCAGTAGTGCGCGTCAGCCAGACTGGTCTATCAAATGGTTCATTTCATGTACTAATGTGCATGCATGCTTTTTGTCAGAAATGTATTTAGGAGGAGCTGCGTGGACGATTCTAGGCGTCACAACATTTGCCGTACTGTTCAATGCTACCAAATTCTTTGAGTTAGAGGTTAGTCTTCTAAAAGAATCCTGATTGACAGTCGTCTTGTGTATGTGCTAGGGCACTATTTATCCTTTACTGCCCCAATCATCCGAAATCAAGGCCAGTTTCCGACCGACTTTTTCTCCGCCAGCAGAATTGGCTAAAAAGTTGTCTCCTAGGGTAGTTTGACCTCCTGAACATGAATATCACATCCCCTCGGTACGAAACCTCCTGGCGCCGGCGTCAAGACACCCTAGGTCACTAAACCTGCTGAAAACTTGTCGTCATGAACAGTTTGACCTCCTGGACACGAATATCACATCCGCTCAGTCTGAAACCGCCTGACGCATACGTCACAAGCGACTCATCACATGCTTGTTTCGACTCCGGCGCGTGTAGCAGAGACTACAGTCGCTTTCGTGCGGTGCTAGGGCAGTTAGGCAAAGTAAAGAACGGAGCACTCTTCCTGGTTGCCTGTGATAGTGGTCCTACTCTTTACTAAGGCTCAGCTTTAGCAGAGAAAGGGCCCCATCTCAGAGGAAGGATGCAGGCGAGCAGAAGCAGTTTGCATAGACACGTGTACCCCTTTTCTTTTCCACGTGTATCCTAAACATCCTCAACACCCCATACAGATGTGATGTTTGTGTTGAGGAGGTCAAACCACCCCAGTTGCCAAGTTCATCGGTTCGCGATTCTGGTGATTACGAACATTTCGGCGCCGGCGCCAGGAGGTTTCGTTCCGAGCGGATGTCATATTAATGAGGAGGTCAAGATACCCAGGAGGCAATTTTTTAGTCAATTGTTCCCGCGGAGAAAAATTTCTCCAAAAATTGGCCTGATTTCGGATGATTGGGGCAGTAAAGGGTAAATAGTGCCTGTGCTGGTTTACTAACAGATGATATGGTGGACGCTCTCAAGCTATTAAACCCCGTTTAAACTCTTTTACTGCAAGAAGGACAGTAGCAGCGCAGGAAATTCTCAAATTGCTCTTTTTCCTGAGCACCGTCGAGCGGTGGGGGATGGGAAGGGGACGGAGTACAGACATGCTTCTGGCCCGATATCGGAAAACAGAGTAAATGTCGCTGGCACAGGCAAACCCTTCAAAAACGGTGTGCTTTGAGGCAAAGCTATAAGTCCGACTAGTGTCTCTGTTGCACCTACAGATTATGAAGCAGTACTTCCGAGAACTTAGCTGACTTGCAACCCGCTGTATCATTCTCACGCCACTGTTCGTTTCAGGTCACTATCAATCCTGTCTGCCCGGATGGGAAAAACTGGCAGAGTTACATACTGCTACCGTCGGTGATGGCAGCTAATCCTCTATATCAACAGGTAATGATTAGGCTGCGTTTATACTTTGCGGCAGCGTAGCGTAGCGCTTCCAGCGTACGCCAGCGGCAGTGCCGAAGAGAGGATGCATATCGATCTAG